TGGCAGAACCGAGGAATGAACTCAGGCCTTTGCACTTGCAAGGGAAGCACTTATTCTACTGAGCCATCTTCCCAGCCCCTACATTATTCTTTTTTTAAAAAAAAATTTTATTTTATTTTTTCCATAATTTTATTGAGAAACAAATATTCTTTTTTAAATGCCAGGAGAGTGGTGAGCCCAGGTCTGCTGGGGTAGTCAGCGGCGCTATTTGCAGGGCCCCATCCCTGCGAGCCCAACAGGGCCCCTCAGACTCAGGGCAAGGCACCTCATGCCAAAGCCTCAGCCTTGTGGGAACAAAGCTTCAGTCTCCCTGACTAGGCTGGGAGCCCCATCCCAGTCTCTGGCCCCCCACCATGCCTCTGCCTGCAGAACCTTCTAATCGAGCTTGTCTCGATCCCCAGAATGTGAGCCAGATTTTCTTCAGGAAGCCTCCTGACTTATAGTAAGAGCAGGCTAATGTCTCTAATCCCAGAGCCAGGCAGGAGATGTGCCCGGAGCAGGCAGAGGCCAGAGATCAGGGGCTGCCAGGCAGCAGAGGGCGCACAGGGCCTCTGGAAGCTGCAGGGAAGTGTGTGGCTCCCTGAGGCCCCAGGACGCACGAGGCATGAGGACATGCAAAGGGGCTTCAGGCCGTATTTCTGCTGCTGGGGTAGGTTGACGCTGAGCTGTGTGTGAGTGCAGGCAGGGGGCCACGGTAGACGGCTGTCTCTGCCCTTGGGGAGCCACCCTGGGTGGGGGCACCGGGGTTGTGCTTTGAGCTGCTAAGTGGAGCCAAGGTAGGACAGGAGCAGAGGCTCAGGCCCTGGGGCTCCTCAGCACGCTGAGGCAGCTGAGCCCCTGCCCTGTCCTGTCCCAGGTGGCAGTGCAACCTAATGGCTAATGCTTGGGCTCCTGGGGAATTGTGGCCAACTTCGCGGCATCCCAAGAGAGCTGAGCAGGACGCTGAGGAGTAGTGGAGGGAGGAGTGCTTGTCTGGCAGGCTGCGGCAGGGCTGCATCTGAGGGCCTGGGGATGGGCGGGAGGGATGAGCCAGCAGGTGCTTCTGTCCACACGAGCACTCTGAGGAAGCAATGCCATGTCTGAGGCATTGTGGGGATGGAAGCCGCTGGGTGCAGGCCAGGGTCCTGCCCTGCCAGGCCGTGCACATGTGCGGGCTCCTGGGGGACGGACTGTCAGCCACTGGTTTCCCGGTATTTTGAGCATCCCAGACCAGCCCTCCCCAGGAGCAGCTGCAGAGAAGTAGGTCCAGCCTGGGCCCTTGTGTGTCCAGCACCCTCACTGGGGGACGCAGGGGTAGGGAAGATGGCAGGGCTCGACCCTCACAGGGACCCTCAGCCCCAGAACAGCAGCGAGTGCTGCAACCCTGACCTCACAGCACCACAGGCACGGGTGCCGCTGACCTGCCGAGGAAAGGCAGCGGATGGTGCCGCCTGGCCTGCACGCCAGCTTGTGGTTAGAGAGGGGCGGGTCTGGTCCCTGCTAGTCTGAGGAGGCTCCAGGTTGCAGCAGTGCCAGCCACCCCAAGTTGACCAGGTGGAAGAACCTCAGAGCAAGGCTCCCCACAGGGCAGTTTTGCCACTGGGGCTCTGCCGACAGGGAGCCATCTGGGAGCCTGGTGGACGGAGACAGCAACTGCCCCAGGGCCAGCATGCACAACTGCAGAGATGGAGGAGGGGTGGTGCCAGGACAGCTGGCTGCACAGCTGCCCCTGCCCCTCCGTGTTTCTGTTAGCAGAACTAGGGTCTGAGCCACGCATGAAGGCAAAAGACATCACCCGACACCACCAGGGACCCCAGCAAGCCACGGGGTGATGGAGGGCTGCTCCCTTCCCTGCTGACCAGGAAACCTGTCGAGCCACAGCACCCTACACCTTGGCTGAAAGTTCAGCCCCAGAGTTCCCTCCCAGAGCCAGGCCTGCCTACGCCTCGCTGCGACAGGACTGAGACAAGGTGGTCATGATGAGGGACAGGGTCATCACTCACTGCTGGAGGTCAGGAGACCCACAGCGTAGACGTGTAGACAGCGACACGCATGGGCACACCCACATCTGGGTGACACGTGGGGGTGGCCCAGTAAGGACTGCAGCTTGACAGCCCATAGCTTGTAGAAGATCGGCTCATGGGGCTGTGCTGCCGTGCTGCTGGGGAGTCTGGTGAGGGGGTGGTCACGTACGCAGCCCAGAAAGGTGGCTCTGCCTTCCTGCTCCCCTTCCCTGTCTAGTGTCCCATTCCCTTAGCAACTGTCCTACCCTGCACCTGAGCCACACTGCCCTGCCTCAGAGCAGCTGGCCACGCCGGGGCTGACACTGCCAAAGCAAGAGCTGGTCCCAGCCTCTCCTCGACCTGTGCAGGTCAGGTATCGTCCCAGCAGTGAGGAGCATGACCAAACACATGCACAGACCCTGAATCTGACACGCTGCCACACCGACAGGGGCAGACACAGGTATGTACCTCAACCTGCCTACACACGACAGGCATGTCTGTAGGCCCACAAATACATAGCTCTGTAGATCAGATGGGAACAACACAGTACACGCACACACGATGCACACAGGAACGACAGACTGAAAGGCAACCGACAGACGGCCTGGCTCAGGCAGGAGATGGGTGGCAGACAGACAGCAGGTGTGCACGCTAGTTTGGGGTGACAAGTGGATGGATGGGCTGATGACAGACAGTAGTGACCGTGGATGGCGAGGGGCAGATGGGCAACAAGAGCATGGCAGAGGTGAGGGCAGATGGACGAGGGAAGCAGCAAGCACTGGCGCAGGTGTGGCGGCCTGGGAACCCTCATGCCTGGCTGTGAGGACACAGTGACACAGCTCCGCAGGGAAGAGCCTCTGGCTCATGCAAACACCAAGCCCGGGGGCACGAAAGGCCCAGCCGTGCAGGTCCGAGCAGCAGGTGCAGCGGGACGAGACCCATGTGGTGTTTAGTGCTCACAGAGGGATGCAATCCGCTTCCGGGGCTCCGGACCGTCATCACTTTGGCTGGCAGCGCTACCGCTGTGAATCCTGCCCAGAGCCAGCGCCAGGGCTGTAGAGCTCCTACTCGCCTGCTCCGGCCAGGGCCAGGGCCAGGGCCAGGGCCAGGGCCACGTCTTGGTCTTGATGGCTCCACTGTCTGCGGCCGGCTGCCCACTCAGAGATCGTTTTCTAAACGTGTGTGGAGAGGAGTGGGATGAGAGGTGCAGCCCAAGAGGCTGGGGCTGGGGCTCCAAGCTCTCCTCAGGCCATCTCTGCAGAAGACCGTGTGCAGCTGAGCTGGGGGCGGGGAGCCCAGGGCTGGGTGCCTGCAGGCCACCGCTCAGCACCAGCAGGGAAGGGCCTGGCCCAGGACACCAGATTACAGCAGCGCTGGGCCAGGGGAGGCGCACAGCACTGCTACACACCACCTGCTGCACGCTTCCTGGGTGGCCTGGGCCAGGCAGATGCGCTGACTACAGACACGGGAAGGACAGGCAGGAAGCCAGACGACTGCTCTGCTTCAGGAAGCAGACAGCCCCCGCTCTGTTCCTGGGGACACAGCCTTGCACAGACCCCACTTGCCCAGCACCCATGAGGCCCAGCCTGGTCTCCAGGACAACAGGGCCCCAAGTGACAGCAGCAACAGGGACAGATTCCTAACACAGCAGCCTGCCCTTGAGGGCAGCTGTATGAGGTGCAGTCACGAGTTCTGAGTCCCGGTCACCATGGGCAGCACCTGCACCCTCGGGGCCACTGCCCATGTGTGGACGACTTGGTCTCCTCAGCAGCAGTGTGGCAGACCAAGCCATCAGAGAAACTCACTGTGGCCGCCACACCAAGGGGCCCTTGCTGGCCTAGGGGTGAGGCTGGCAGCGCCAGGGCAGCCAAGCACCTGAAGTACACGCACAGGCAGATGCTGGGCTCCTCACTGCTCCATGCCAAAGTCACCCAAGGCCCGCTGCAACTTGTCGCCGCACCTCAGCAACACAGACTGCAACCCAACCGCCGAGCAGCACACCTCACTCGTGTCGGAGTCACCAAGGAGTCAGGCGCTGCTGCCCTGGCTGTGTGAGGGAGGACCAGGGACCAGTGCCCCATGTAGCAGGTGCTCCAGAAAGCCAGCGGGACATAGGCCACAGTGAACACCTCGTGTCCCTCAGACGTGGCAGAGGGGTCATCGGCTGCAGCTGCTGTTGCTGCGATGGGTGAACTGCAGGGGAGTCACCCCAAACCCTATGCTTGGGGCAGAGGGCACAGCCCTCAAAACCACAGTCCTGCACTATACCCGCTACCTGTGCACCCGAGTGAGGCCAGCTCCGCACGCATGTGTAAACCACGTGTGTTTAGCCTGTTTCTAGATTCCCCGATGCTGTACAGGCACGTTCACATCCAACAGGTTTTTAGCTTGGTCTGGTGGCACACGTCTGTAATCCCAACACTCTGGAGGCTGAGGCAGGATTGTTGGAGAGTTTGACACCAGCCTGGGCTACAAAGTGAGCTCAAGGCCAGCCTGCACTGCATAGTGAGACCCCTCGTCAAAACAAGATGGAAATCAAAAACAAAGAACCTACACGGCTTTTCAGTGATTTGGGTTTTTATAAAGTGGTTTTCAAAAACTGAAGCTGAAGCCACGAGGTAACAGGTTCAAGACTGAAGACTTTCAGGTATGCGATTAGCAGGATGGTGAGGGTGGGATGGTGCCAGGCAGTGGTGGGCAGCCCCACTCTTGACCCACGTTGGAAGCAAGGGCCCGTGCACAGCACACCTGAAGCACTTAGTGACCCTGCAAGGCCCGAGGCGCTGTCTGTCCAAAGTGGCCTATGGTGGCCCCTGGTGGCTGCAGGGGCTCGGGATGCCAGCTCCAGTCCCAGGCCGAGGCGCACCGGAGGGCAGGGGTGAGGCGCACAGCTAAGCAGAGGCATGGAGGGCTGTGAGGTGCAGGGCGCCCTGTAGCTGCCAGCAGAGTGTAAGGTGGATGGGGCACCCAGGTGGCTCCTAGGGCCAGGCTTAAATGAGTCTATACCCTGGGGTGCCCAGGCGCTGTGTAAGAGCCTGAGGGTGGCTGAGGAAGGTGACGGGGAGGCCCACAGTGGGAAGCACCTCGGCCCCACCACACCTAGCACCCGGGCACATGCAGGATGCCTAGCTCAGAGCAGCCCCTTGAGACCACATGGACAGGAGACAGACAGCGTGGGGCTGCTGCTGCCCATGCCTGCACAGAAGGTACCACCAGGGCAGGGCTGCTGTCACCCTGTGCCATCCCTGTGGCTCTGCCAACCCCGCCGGGGTCCTTCCCGCCTGGCCGGTGTCCTGCCGCTTCCGCTGGGTGCAGAGGCATCTCCCACAACACCACTTATGTGGTCGGTCAGCTGAGCGTGAAGAGCTGGGTGCAGATGTCCTCCCGTCGGCCCAGCAGGCCCTGTGCAGCAATGAACTCCAGTGGCACTGGCTCGGGCAGCTGCTTCTTCAGGTCCTGCTCAAAGATCTGGAGGGGATAAGGCCATCAGCCCTGGCCATGTTGAAAGCCCCAAGCCCGGCCCATGTGGGCCCCCACACTTGCCTCAAATGCTGTGAGCTCCAGGAGTGGCGCAATGCTGACCTCAGGGACCGACAGTGCCTGGTTGATGACACTGGCAGCGCGGGACACCTCAGGGTGGTAATGCTGCTGCAGGGTCTGCAGGCCCAGGCTCGTCAGGGCTCGCATCCTCCTGTCTGTGCCCGCGCACGCCCAGACAGGTACAAAGGGACACAAAGCGTCCCAGAGCCTTGGTTTGGGCAGCTTTGTCCTAAACAGGCCCTCACCAGGGACAGAGTGGAGCTTCGGGAAAGTGGATGACCAGGGTGACCTGGGCTGCACAGGGACAGGTGAAGGGCAAGGGGAACATGTGCCGGGGAACACCCTCACCTGCAGCTCCCACAGGCAGCTCTCCAAGGCCCGGCTCTTGGCAGGATCCTCCTCCTCTGGGTTATAGGGGTCAGCATCCAGCTCTAGGGATGACATTCAGTCCACATTCCACCTAGTCTCCTTGGGACAAGGGGTCCAGCAGGGTCCTTATGGGACACCCACCCACCCAACTCACCAGGGCCCTGGGGGCGGTGCACTAGGACGAGGCAGGCCGGGTGTCTGCGCAGCAGGTTGCAGATGAAAGGCAGGACCATGAGCAGGGCCTCTGGGGGTGCTGTCAGCGCCAGGCGGGATAGGCGCTTGGCAAAGGCAGCCACCAGGTAGGCAGGGAGGTGGCTGTGCAGGAAGGGGGGATCAGATCCAGCAGCCCCCCTCCCGCCCTGGCCGAGACTGTGCCCCTCACCCCACCTCTGGCAGCTCAGAGGCTGGGCAGAGCCTTCCCAGTTGCACGGGGTGCTCCCAGGCACTCACGAGGAAGAAAGGAAGAGGTTGGCCAGATGGAAGAAACGGGCCCGGTACTTAGCGTGGAAGATTGAGGGGTCCAGGAGACCATACAGCTTCCGATAGAAATCAGGGTACTCCCTGAGGAAAAGGGCCACAGAGCCACAGGGGTGAGCCAGTGGAGGCAGGCAGACTGGCCCTGGGGAGCGGTGGCTGCATCCCCTCCCCCAGCCAGCTCCCCAGTCCCACCCTGGCCCCAGCCCCACTCACAGGTTGTGCTGGTGAATCAGGATGAAAAGTCCATTCAGAGCTAAGAGGCTGATGGCACCACCTACAGACACACCTTCCTGAGTTCCAGCTCCAGAACGACCTCCAGCCCAGCCCAGCCCAGCCCAGCGTGGGAGGAGGCGCAGGAAGGAAGTGCAATGGGCAGAGCTGCCCATCACCCACAAAGTTACACCCCTAGGCAACGTGGGTCCAGCCTGTCAGTCGGTGGACCTCCGCCACCCCTGCCCACAGCACCCACTCACCCACGTCACAGGCACTGGTGAGGAAGTCGATCATGAGGGTGGGCTGAGCCAGGCGGGGCAGGATGGTGTCATGCATGGTCACCAGGACCTTCTTATAGAGACTGAGGGGCAGCTGGCATGGACACAGGCAGTCAGGGTGCGGCAGCCCCCAAGCCCCTGCGGCCCAGGGGCCCCTTTCCCAGGGCCCTACCTTATGCTTGAGGAAGCCGAGCCACATGGCCTGGAACGCCTTCCTGTGCTCCTGCAATGGGGCCAGGCTGCTCAGCGGGCTGAAGCCTACCTACCTGAGGAGCTGCCCAGAGCCCCCGACACCTCTCACCTTCAGGTGGGTGACCTTCCACATGTCTGATGGTTCTGTGGGGATGGGGGGAGCCAGTGGTTACCTGGCCAGCATTCAGGGGGACACAGGCCCTTCTGCTACCTCCCCCACCAAGGCAGGACCGAACTCAGCTTCAGCCTCCCCGTGCTCACCTCCATGCTTCACATAGAAGTTAGAGATGTCACACTCCTGGCGGGGCAGACTCAAGGCTGACAGCAGGGTGAAGGTGTTGTTCCAGAAGGCCAGGGACACCTAGGAAGCCTGGCCTGAGCATCCTCGCATGGCTCAAACCACCCACGCACCCAGGATTCAGCTCGTCCTCACCTCGGAATGCTGGCTGGTGACCTGGGCCACAGTGTCAGAGGCTGCCTGCATGGTGTGGTAGCGGATGTCATCGAACTCTAGGTATTCCCGGAACTGGTTAATCTGCAAGCTGTGGTCCTGTTCTGGTGAAAGCAGGCCTCCCACCACCGCCTGAGGGCAGAAACGGAGTGAACACCTCTCCTTGGGGGGTCCATGATGCCACGAGACACACATCACACCAGGCCCCTCTCTGCGGCCAAGGGAAGGTTCCCCAGGAAGTCTCACAAAGTTCCCAGGGCAGGATGAGTAAGGAGCGTCACACCCACCACCACTGGCTCAGGCAGTCCCCTCCTGGCCACACCAGGCTGCGACCAGGTCCTCACCCTGAAGAGTGTGCGGGGGAACAGGTACTGGCCTTCCCATTTGGGCTTCTCCAGGGGGTGTACCCCTTCCAGCTGCACAAACTTCATGAGGGTCTTGAGTGCCAGCTCCTGAGAAGCATGGGCAACAGAGTGACCCCAAGAGCTCACCCCACCCGGGAGCCCCACACAGTTGGGCCCAGGTCCTCTTTTAAAAAAAACTTGTCATTTTAGCTTTATTGAGGAGATTCATAATTATTAGGAATAAAAGCGGGTAGTTCCACTGGCTTATAGCCACCCTGTAAACAGTGAGAAAATGACAAACAATAAATCAGGCACTTTATCTCCCAGTACTTCCCGCTTCTTGCGCTGGAGCCACTTTGTAGCAGCTATACTGGCTCCTGTGAGCACCAGCACTCTAGCAGAGTGAATTCCAGCTGGAATGAATTAAGTCAACAGCAGATTCCCGACACATTTAGGAAAAAAGACACTGCAAGTCATGAGAACCGGTCGACATATGACGTGACAGAGAACTGAAACCGTTAAGCCTGCTCTATTTGACCAGATTTGCTTCGTTGCTATTATATTGCTTTCTAAATTATTTGGCAGCAAGGTAACAGAAAAACAAAAACGTAAAACTTTTAACGTCTGTTGATTTACGAATAAAAAAGAAAATAGCCTTTTTCCTATTGCTGGTAGGAAAGTTTCATTTGGCACTGTGGATTTTTAAAAGGAAAACAGAAAAAGTGGCAGTTACGAAAAACAAAGGAAAGGAAAATTGGAAAAAACTACTATTTCAGGAAAACACAGGCTTTTGGGTCTTCTACCATTCACGGTCCCTGGAATACTCTCATCTGCAGCACATTAGTTACATTAGGGTTATGCTGGCAAGAGACCAGATTCACCGTTTGTTGTGCTCTGATTGAAGCGCCCACGGAGGCCCCATGACCGCCCAGGCAAGGAGGCCTTAAGCCACAAAATACTCCACTCACACTGCGTACGGTTTTCTTATGCAAATTCGGTATACAAATAACTGTAAGACTCGGAAAAGTCCTGTAAACTTAGGTTGAGTTTTTGTAGCTGATAACTGTTCACTGAAGATCAGATGCTTCTCTCTTGTTAAGTAAATGTTCTGCAGGCTAACAAAGGCATTTCTTTAAAGAGTGGCATCTTCAAAGTCCTTATTCCAATGTATGTCTGCTTCTAAAGTTTGAGGACTCGCGCTGCATTTTCTTTTTCCCAAGGATTCAGGGAAGTCAGATAATGGAATCTTTCGCATCTCACTGGCAGACGTGTCCCTCTCCTGCTCCAGTTTCAGTTCTCGGAGAGGTCCCAAGGCTGCATCTGTTGCCAAAGCTGTGAAGTCACTTCCTCAGTATCCATCAGTCATTCCAGCAAGTTGTGCCAGTTCTTTTTGGGTCAATGGACTTCCTTGTTTACATAACAGATTTTTAAGTAAAAGAAGTCTTGTCTCCTCATTGGGTAGACACATAAACCCGTTTGATGAACCGCCCGAGAACAGCCTCATCCGGCCGTTGCGGTCTGTTAGTCGTGCCCACTACAAGCACTCTGCCACCTCCAGCAGACTGTGCACCACCAAGTTCTATTAGAAAGTCACGTTTCAGACACCCACTAGCAGCACCATGCTCCCCTTCTCTTCTTTCATATAAAAGGCTGTCAACTTCATCTATAAAAACTATAGAAGGTTCAAGATCTCGAGCCACAGCAAAAAGAGCTCTTACCAATTTTTCGCCTTTCACATATTTTGAAGTTAAACTTGGAGCACTGATATTAAAAAAGGTTGTGTTAGATTCAGTAGCTACTGCTTTAGCCAGCACTGTCTTCCCATTTCCAGGTGGACCAAAGAGTAAAAATCCCCTGGCAGCTGCTCTAAGTCCTGTAAATAACTTAGGCCTCAGAGAAGGAAGAATAACAATTTCTTTCTTTTTTTTTGCTCTGAATGCCATCAGGGCAGGTTTGGCTGGCTTGAGTTGTGGGGATCGAACCACAGTAACCTAAGCCTGACTGCTTAACAATTTCTTGCAAAGTTTGTTTTTCCAACTCTTGACCAGCTATATCATCAAATTTATCAGCTGTCCCAGTGTCCACAATTTCATTCATTATAAGGTTAGCAAGGTTACTGTCCACATTCCTAAAATTCTTCAAGTCTTTCTTTTTCCAGGCAGCAGTTGTAGGGGTTGAAGGCTTATTTGTCCTATTTGTTTTTGGAGTACCCTTATGAGTGACAGTTGTAGGACCAGGTCCCTGTCTTGTTCCAGAAACCATGGACAAACCACGACAACTGCATGCTCTGTGGTGACCTGAAAGATCTGCGGTCAATTTTCATAGCTGTTTCTGAACAAGGCTGAGAATCACTAGCAGGTGGTAAGGGATCTTCTCCTTTTGGAACAGCTCCACTCTCTGACTGGAGAGGTCCATCTCGGCAGGTCAAGTTAGTACCGTCGCTGTAGACTTCCGTCTGTGACTTGGAAAATTGCAAAACTGGATGCAGCATCTGTAGCAGTTGTCAACGATCCTTGGCCTTAACCAAGCCAGCCATCATCTTCGCTTGAAGAGGTCTAGCTCTTTCACATTGTTCACCTTGTCCTGTAACTATGACAGCTATTCCTTTTTCTCGTCTTCCATACCTTCCTTATACCATGCCACAGCGAGGCCGAGGCAGGCGCCGGTGCGGCCCGGGAGCTCCTCTTGGCCGCCACGAGGGCACGGGCCCAGCGCTGGCAGAGCCACACGAAGAGGAGCCCCAGGTGGAGGACGGGCAGGAGAGCACAGCTCGGCTCCGGCGGCGGCGGCGAGGGGTCGCAGGCTTTCTTCTTCCCTCGCGCCCGCGAGAGCTCATTCACAGCTCCCACTGCCGCCTCCCTCTGACCGACGGCGACCACGCCGCAGCAGCGGGGGCCAAGCGTGGCGAGGCACGGACGGACGCGGGGCTGGGGGCGCCTGCTCCTCCTCGCGCGGCCCGCCGGCCGGCCGGCCGGCGCCACCTTCTCCCCCGGGGCGGGGCGGGCCGGACGAGAAGGGGAGTCTGGCTCTACACGGGCGGAAGGCCGGGTGGCAGCGATGTGATTCGTCACTCTAACCGGACACAGAGCTCAGGACAGGGCCCTGCGCAGGAAGCGCACCAAGGCCGGGCCGGTGGTCGCCCGACGGCAGAGACGCCGCGCAAACGCCCAGAAGGCACGCGAAGCTCCCATAGAGGGGCCGATGGGGTGCCTGCTGGGCCTCGAGACTCGGTCTCGGCGCTAGAACCGTAGAAACCAACAGGCCTCCTCACGGACAGACCACAGCTCGGCGATGCGACAGGTGCACGGAGAGCATCCTGCACCGGGCCTCGCGCTCCCTGGCGGAAGGCCTGAGAAGTGGAAATACGGGGCGACGGCCCGACACTCACCTTGACTTTGAAACTGGGGTGGGCCAGGAGCTCGCCTAGGTGACTGCGGCAGCTGTGATAGCGGTGTCGCATCCAGACCTTGTACTTGCGCATGGCTCCGTGGGACCCTGTGGGCAGGGGTTAGAGCGGCCATCCCGCTCGACGTCACAGCCGGGCCAGCCACCCCGGGCCCTGCAAAGAGGGGGAACGGGCCTGTGCCCAACCTAGCGTCCACGGGCAGTCCCTGCCACGCCAGGACCCAAGTGTTGCAAAACTCAGACAAATGGCCGCAATCTTGGGAAGCACTTCGTCCCACGGGCACAACACGGAACACGAGGGCCTCCACTTCTTCCTCCCTGCTTCACACCAGGCCACACACTCGGGTGGCGCGGCCGTCCTCCCACCGCCCGGGGCCGCTGACCGCGCTCTCGCGAGACCTCGGGGCGCCCCGGGACGCTCACCGGCCAGGACGGAGTCCTCGGGGGGAAGCGGGCCCACAAACAGCTCTCCCCGCTCCAGCAAGGCCCCGAAGAGTCGGCTGCAAGTGTGCACTGCTTCCTGGACCTCCTCCGGGTCTTCAGACTGCGGCGAGAGGCCGGGCGCTGACCGCACGCCTCCCACCCGACCCCGCACGCACCGCACGCAGGCTCGGAGCCCCGCGCCGCCGCCCTCACACGCGTCCCGCCCACCTGCAGCACGGCCAGGATGTCGAACACCGCATTGGCCTCGCCGCGGCTCGCCAGCACGGCCTGCAGCAGGTGGCCCAGCGCCCTGCGCGC